GTGTGTGTGTGTGTGTGTGTGTGTGTGTGCGTGTGCGTGTGCGCGCACATATTTCTGTATATACACACGTATATGCATATGTGCACAAGTATATGCATATACACCACATATGTACATATACATATGCATGCACACACACATATACGCACATGCACATATGTCTATACATATGCACACGTATATACATATGCACACGTATATACATATGCACACGTATATGCATATACATGCACACATATTTGTATGCATATACATATGTATGCTTTGTATGTGCGTATATAATATATACACATTTCTGTATATGTACACGTATATGCATATGTGCACAAGTATCTGCATATACACATGTAGATATACATACACAAACATACGCATATGCATACCCATATGCATGCACACACACATATAGGCATATACATGTCTATATATACACACATGTATATGCATATGCACATATTTACATATACATGCACACATTCATGTGCATATACATATGTATGTTTGTATATGTGTGTGTGTGTGTGTATATACACCCACACACACATGCATAGAAAATAGAAAACTAAGGTTAGAAGGGACCTCAGGAAGTCTAGCCCAACCACCTGCTCCAAGCAGGACCATCCCCAACTCTGTCATCCCAGCCAAGGCTTTGTCTAGCCCGGTCTTAAAAACCTCCAAGGATGGAGATGCCACCACCTCTCTGGGTAACCTGTTCCAGTATTTTACTACCTTCCTAGTAAGAGAGTTTCCCTAATATCTAACCTAAACTTCCCTTACTGCAGCTTGAGACTATTTCTCCTTGTTCTGTCATCAGCTGTCACTGAGAATGCAGTCTAGATGCATCCTCTTTGTAACCACCCTTCAGGTAGTTGAAGGCTGCTATTAAATTCCCTCTCGGTCTTCTCTTCTCCAGATGAGGTCCCATTCTCTCAGCCCCTCTTCATAAGTCATGTCCCCCAGCTCCCTCACCATTTTAGTTGCCCTCTGCTGGACTCTTTCCAATTTGTCCACATCCTTTCTGTAGTGGGGGGCCCATAACTGGACACAGTATTCCAGATGTGGCCTCACCAGTGCTGAATAGAGAAGAAGAATCACTGGATATCCAGGGGTCAAACAAACCTGCAGAAGAAAAAGCGGAGCAGTGCATTGATGGGAAAAAAAAATAGGAAAAAAAAAGCATAGTAGCACATACATAGGCACCGTGCGCCACTCAAACATGGAGCTGGGTGGCCGGGAGCCACGCTGTGGCTGCTGGCCAGGCTCCATGAAGAAGAATTGCCGTTGTTGCAGCCTCAGGAGGCCCCAAGAGCCCCAGGTAAGGCTGCTGGGGCCAGCCCAGTGCTGGCCCCAGCCTCTCCTACCCCACCTGGGCTAATTTGGCACACATCAAAGCCTCACTGTACCACGTGGTACAGACGTTCCCTAGGGACAAGTACCGCTGATACTTGTCCCTAGGAAACCAAATGTCCACACTCATGTGGACACAGCCCCTGATTTCATCCCTACACACTGAAGGAATATTCTACTTCATAGTTGTGTGTCCAAGTTTCCCCTTGTAAGATTTCTTTTTGTGTTGTAGCTCACTGAAGAGTTCCCTGCTAAGTCATGCTGGTCTTCTGCCATACTTGATAGTCTTCCTGTGCATCAGGATGGTTTGTTCCTGTGCCATTAATAAGGTTTCTTTAAAATACAGCCAGCTCTTCTGGACTATTTCCCTTTTCAGACAGGTATCCCAGGGGATCCTGCCTGTCAATTCCCTGAGTGAATCCAAGTCTGCTTTTCCGAAGTCCAGGATCCTTATTTCGCTGCTCTCATTCCGTCCTTTCCTTGGGATCCTGAAGAAAATCATCTCGTGGTCAGTGCTGCTTAAGTTGCCATCCACTTCCACATTGACCACCAATTCTTCCCTGTTTGTGAGCAGCAGATCAAGAAGAGCATGACCCCTAGTTGGCCTCTCTAACACTCGAACCAGGAAGTTGTCCCCAACACTCTCCAAAAACTTTCTAGATTCCTGTGCATTGCTGTATTTCCCTCCCAGAAGATGTCAGGGCGATGAGAACCAGGGCTTGTGATTGGGAAACTTCTGCTAGCAGTTTGAACAAAGCCTCATCCACTGTATTCTCCTAGTGTGGTGGTTTCTTGTGTATTTGGGCCTACTTTTTAAATACTGGGCTTGCTTTGTCTGCCAGTTGTATAGTTATTTTGTCTTCAGTAGCCAAAATGATACTGAGGAGTAAGGACTATTATTTGTTAATAAACAAATTTAATGGAAGTTGAATTCTACTTTTGCCCTGTATATATGATCGTGGTTTACTGGGCTGATACTAACGAGGATCCAATAACAGCACCCCCATTGTACTCTAGCACCTTCTTCTTTTCCAGCAACTGAAGTAGTCAGGGAAGTCGGAAGCTTTTCACCATGAAGCTGCTTCTGCTTCTGGTGCATTATGAAAGAACGAGGTGTAATCCATAACAGAGGATAGGAGTATAAGGCACCCAAACTGCAACTCCCGAGAGGCACTGACAAGCCATATTGTATCAATATAGTTGATGTCATTCTTTTATTTTTTCAATAGAACATTACTATTTGCTATGAAACAAGCATACTTTTTTGTGAAATACTTGTTTTGTTAAACAATCCAGCATTTGTAGAAATTCCATTTTGACACAAACTTTTCAAAAATCCCTTCTTCCACCTTCAGTAAGTTCTGCCCAAAGTAAATCTTTCTGGCTCTGTGGAATGTATAGTTGACAAAAAAATCTATGTATGTTTAAATATGGTATACTACTACTATATCAGTTAACATGTTGTACTTAGTAGGCCTTGTCTACTAAGATTACATGGGGCAGCATTTGGCTTTGGATCCTTTATCTGGATAGAAATGATGTAACAAAATGTTAGAATTCAATCTATTGTAACGTATAGATCTTGGTAATTTTTGTTTACTTCTTGATACTTCACCCTCCCCCAGCAAATATATTAAACAGTAATTTCATTGTGTGTGTTAAGCATGGGAATTGGAAATTGATTAAAATTGAGTTTATATATGTATGGGTAAATTGTACTTCTTTTACAGGCATTGTCCATTATATTTAATAGGTAATCTGGATTTGCCACCATTTCTTGTCTATAATACTTTTTTTTTCTTATTTCTAGCTAATATATGACAGTTTTGCTCAGTACCTGGTAACGGAAAAGGGTTATGATAAAGACTTGCTGACTGTAACTCCAGAAAACTGGGATTTTTGGTAAGTATTTTAAAAACAAAATCAAAATTTAATTTCTAACTCCAATTTGTATGGATCTTGCAAAATAATTTCTTGATATTGCTATGGTTGTGAGATCCAACACAGAAACTATACACAGTCATTTATGTGTTTAACTTGAAATGGAGACTTGAATCTTTATCTGCCATGTCCCAAAAAAGTGCTCAGATCACTGGGCTATAGAGTCAGTCTCTAAGGGTTTTGATCATTGGCACTTTATTTGAATTGTTCTTTTTTGGTGGTTTGTTGTCATGACTAGTCCCAGGTAGGGTTCTATGTTTTAATTGCTTTTAGCTCAATTTTTAAAACTTTAACTTTTATTTTTAATAATAAAGTTTGATGAAAGTCAATGTCTCTTTCTCTCTCTTAAATTGACTGATTAATATTAATTATTTATATAAAATAGAACAGCTGCAACAGGAGAACTTGGAAAGGTGCACCCCAGAATAGCCAGTGGTCTGATGGGCTGGGTTCCCTCACTGAATTTTGGAAGCTGGAATTCAAAAGCCTATTCTTAATGAAGCAGAATGGGGATTTGATCCTTGGTCTCCCACTTTTCAGCCCTAATCTATTGACTGTTCTGGGCAGTGGAGTTATGGTGATAGCATTTCTTTCTCCTCTCTCTCCTCCTTTTTTCTTGTCTCTATTCCCCTTTTCCCTTGTGTCCTTTCTCTCCTTCTTTCTTTCTCTCTCTCTGTCTTCTCCCTGTGTTCTCTCCTCTTTCCCTCTCTCTTCTCTCTCCTCTTTCCCTCTCTTTTTCCTCTGTCTCTCATTTTCACTACATATTTTATCCTTGCTGAAATGGATAGGTGTTCCATGGAAAGGTTTTGTTTTTATAGATCAACATTTTTTTTTTCTGATGAAAAACCATTTTGTCAGAACATTTCCAATCATCTGTAATTTCAACCCGTGCTCTCCAAGCAGTGTATTTATACCAGGCTGTTATTTCTCATGAGTTACCTGAGACCTACAAATATTTTGTAGTAGCACATATATAGGCCTTGGTCCTGTAAGCTGATGCATGCTGGTTGATTCCTGTAGTTATGTGTAGCTTCACAGAAGTCTACAGGCCTTTGCATGGACATAGGAGTCCATTTTGTGGATCAACCAGAAGGGCTTGTCTTCACCATTACAGTCTCCCAGCACACATCTGTTTAAGCACAGCTTGGCCAGACTATACCCATTTATCCTGCAGGAGTGCTCCAAATCCCTGAGTATGCAACTGAGAGGCAGCTCCAGGCTTGTCTCTAGAAGGCACTCTCAGCATACTGGAGACCAAGAGCAGGGCTGAAGGATGAGCCCAGAGTAGCCTCACTGGTTCATTTCCTCTATGGTTTGGAGCATAGCTGCAGACATGTATTGGCAGGGTGTGCTCAAAATATGCAGGTGTTGGGATCCACTGCTACTGTAGTAGAGGCAATCATATGGCCTGCATGTAGCTGTACATTACTTTGTGATGGTTCAGAACTCCTAGTTGGCCTCATCCCACTCTACTCCTACTTATCTGGTAATGAAGGAAGGAAATCGCACTGATTTCATTAAAAAAAAAAATAAAGCCACTATTTTAGTTGTTAAACTCCAGAAACTGCAGATTTTTTTCAGAATCTAATTATATATTAAATTTGGCATTACATTTCCAATCCTTAACTCCCTCAATTCTGCAAATTGTTTACTCAGCTTTTTTCCCCATGTGAAACTTCAGATGTCATCATTATGTGAAACTGTTCAAATATTTCTGAAACATTTCCAGATAAATGAGATGTACCTGTTATCTTCTTCTCTGTTGAGCTACAATTAAACTTTCAAAGGTATCCCTTTGATACTTTAGGTGGTCTTTTCATGTGTTCTGGGGATGGGGGGGGCACTTTAATTAGTGTGGCTCTCAGGAGCCACTCCAGTTAAAGTGCTGGCAGCGTCTTGTGTATTCAGCAGTCCTGCCCTTCAAAATGGTGGAAAGGGTGCTTTAACTAAAGCTTGCTGAATGAGCTTTAGTTAAACTGCCCCTGCTGCCATTTTCAGTTGTGGGGACGTTGAATATGTGAGAGGCCAAGGCTGCTATAGCGTGCTAATTACCATGGTCCGGGAGACTCGATTAAATGATGCTCCTCTGATATGCTGTAATTACAGCACATTTGGACAGGCATTCTACATGTATGCAGGCACCCTTAGTTGTTAGGACTTCTTGAGTTTAACTCAATTGATTGAGTTTAGCCAGTAGCAAGACCAAGTTGTCCACATGTTTGGCTCTACCGGCCAGATGAAGGATGTGGGGATGGACTGCAGGTTGGATTGGGCTGTGTGCTGCCCCTGTGTGCCAGGATCAGGCCCTGGGGCAGTATGGGGCTATGCTTGCAATCCTAGCCAGGTGGAGGCTGTGCAGGGTTCCCATGCCTAGTTGGGATCAGGTTCCAGGGGCTGTACAAGCAGTATAGCACATAAGGCCAAGGCCCATGGGCTCCCCACAGGACCTATGGGGAGCCCCATAGATCAGATTCTGTGGTATTGGGGGCCACAGGCCAGATTAGGCCCCACAGATAAGATTATGTGGTGTCCCTACAGGCTAGGGATTGAGCACCTCTGATTTATATCACTTTTCATCACGAATAGTTAGATTTGTTTTCCTTAATGTTAAAAAGTGTCTAAATACACCTGCTTGATTGTGAAATTTTGGCCCTGATCCTCCAAACCTTTATAATGGCTACATACACATGGAATATGGAAGTACATGAATGATTACAACATTATTATTTTTATTTGTAGCTAAATTGTGTACTAATTCCAGATGCATATTGTTGAGATATGCTTGATTATGTGTCAGACTATATTTGAGGTGTAATGTCTTTTCTTCCTTTTTTTCTCCGTTTTAAATCAAATTAATTTTTAGCTGTAAAGGCTTGGCTTTGGATCTAGAAGATGGGAACTTCCTTAAACTTGCAAAAGATGGAACAATTTTGAGGTAATAATGCTGAATTTTCCTGTTAGATGTCTGTAAAGTTATTTTCTTTAAAAAACCCCAGTATCTCAGTATAATAATGGTGCAATTACTGTCCTAAATTGAATTCATTCCTAAGTTTAAATGTCAAGTGCTGCACATATAATTTGTGCTGAATCTGTTTTTAATATTACGTAGGTAACTATAACCATTTGGTGGCCTGTCTATTTTAGTTGCTATTGTGGAACACAGCACTATTTTTGAATAGCCATTTGATATTTTTGTCCTGCACTCCATCATGATATCTATGATTTGCTACTTAGTGCTGTAAAAGTATTTATTTTTCAGTGCTCAGAGGTTGAATGGTTACAATTTTTTAAGTTAATTTTGTTCTTATTCTCCAGTATTGCAAGATACTATAAAGCATACAAATAATAGTCCTGCAAAAATTAAAGCACAAGTTTAACTTTCTGTTCCCTGAGTACAGGCAGTTCTTGACTTACGACGTTTTGAGTTATAATGTTTTGCACTTACAACATTTATAAATTAACACCCTGTTTCAACTTTATGACATCAGTTTCGACTTTGCAATGCTTGGTTTGATGCAACGTTATGCCAGCGACTAGTTCGCTGCATTGCTTGTCTCCCTGGAGGACATCTGTCCAAACTTCCTTGGACACTTTCTTTAAGAAAGCAGACAAGACTCCAGAAAAACTTGCAGCCAAGACTCCTGAGAAGACTCCAGCCAAAAACCCTTCAAAAAGTCCAACCAAGAGCCTTTCAAAAACTCCAGCAGTCACCTCAAAGAAGTTCTTCCAAATCAATATGATTGCTATTTAGAATATAAATACATTAAAGTAGCTATATTACTCATCTATAAGTGATCAAGTACAAAATTCTGGGGTATTTTTAGTGAAAATAGGGTATTGGGCCTTGGTTCAGGGACCAATCCCCCATTTATAACATTGTTTCTTATGAGAAAATTGGTTCCGAGTTACAACAGTTTGACTTAAGACGCGGTTTTCAGGAACCAATTGTATCGTAAGTCCGAGGACTGCCTGTAGTCTCCTTAGACCCACTGGAAGTCATTTTTCTTTATTTTGCCTAAAAGTAAAATATTTGCATTTTTTTCCTTTTTTTTTTTTACTTATATTGTTTCACTACCAGCAAATAGGATAAAAGCAAGCATAATCTGAAAATAGTCTTTTTTGGGGTTTTCTTTTGGTTTAACCCCCCCCTCCCCCAAATGATAGGGGAGCATCTTTTTAATTTTTTCCCCTTATGTGGGCTGTTGGATTTTCTTTTTTGGTTTGCTTTTCTCTGAGGCATTCTCTAGACCATAGCTATGGCTGTTATTTTTTAACTGTGGTGCCACAATGCTTTCTTTGTAATATAGGGCAAGGGTTTTCAACCTTTTTTGGTTGGTGTACCCCTGGTGGCTGGTTGAGAAGCAGGGAGTCCCCCAGCTGGTCAATGAGTGGGGGTGGGGCTTGTGGCAAAACTGGAAGCACTTCCAGTGAAACCGAAAGTGTCCCTGCTTCTCTGCACTGGTGCCACATACCCCCTGAAGTCTTCCCAAGTACCCCCAGGGGTACATGTACCCCTGGCTGCCAGCCCCTGATATAGGGTGTGGTCCTTTTTCTAGTATCTTTTGCGAATATAATAAACAACTGCTTCCCTTTTGTTCCAGATGTAGGGCATTGGCAGTGTGCTTGTCACCCATACTTCTACCTTTAGCATTCTGTAGAGCTTTTTGTTATTTGAATTTTGCTCCTGGAAGCGGTAGGTTATGATTTAAGTGATGATTTGGGATTTTCTTTAGATAACACTTGCTTGTCAGTGCCAGGAACTGGACTTTATGACTCGGAAGACCTCTTCCAGTCCTACGTTTGGTGCTATTGGGATGAAATGCAGGCAGTCCTCAGACTTAGGATGCAATTGGTTCCTGAAAACCACATTTTAAGTCGATATGTCGTAAGTCGGAACCAGTTTTCCCATAGGAACAGTGTTACAAATGGGGGGTTAGTTCCTTTATGATGGTCGATACTGCATGCAGCTGGTAAGTGGTGGAAGGGGAGGTGGAGATCAGTGTCTCCCATGGTGAGGGAGGAACTGGGACTGAGGCTGGGACTGGGACCAGGACTGGGGCTGGGGCAAGCGCTGCCCAGCCTGAGTGAGGGGCGGGAGGTCATAGCCCCTGCTCCCAGCACTGTCACTGCCAGCCTGGAGCACAGCCTGGTACACCGCTGCCCTACCCCATGCAGATCTGGGTGCACACGCCCCCCATGCCCTTAAAGCTGCAGCTCATCTGGGGGGTGCAGGGAGTGAGGGCGGCTCCCTCCACTGTGTGTCACTTGTCTGGAGGCTGTGCAGAGGCTGTGCCCTGTGCCCATGCTGCCCTGACTGGGCATGTGTGGGGGTCGTGTGCCCCCAGATCGGGGTGGGGTGGGCAGCAGAGTGGGGGCTATGGAGGGGCTGCAGCCACCCAAAATTTTGCTGTAACCTCACTGCCCGCCCAGAGCGTAGCCCCAACCCTGCCCGCCCCACCCCGTGCAGATCTGGGGGGGCCCCTCCCCATGCCCTTCCGGACCAGCAGTGGGAGGAGCGGTGGGAACCGTCGATTGAGCTGCCAGACAAGCAGCATGCAGTGGCAGGACCCACCGCCCCTCCCTCCCTGCACCCAACTGGCTCCGTCTGGGCAGTGCTTGCCCCAGTCTTGGTCCCTGTCCCTCCCTGACTGCGGGGGGCATTGATCTGCCCCCCCACACACCTCTTCCCTTCCCCCTCCCCTTCTACCACTTAACAGCTGCACACAGTATCAGCCATCATAAAGACGAAACCCACATTGGAAACATTGAAATGGAGTGTCAATTTATAAACGTCGTAAGTGGAGTTTGTTTCAACTCGAAAAGTGGTAAGTCGAGAACTGTCTGTATAGACCTTTGGAGATGCCAGGAAAACATATGGGCATGTCTGAGATCAATACAGGAGAAATGACTGTAGGATTGCACCACATCTTCATTGGGAGAAAAAAATATTTTATAAGTAGACTGATTAAGGGACTTTTAAAATAAGACTGACCAGACACTGGCTGTTAAGAATTAATACTTGGAACTTAAAAACCAAGGGTATGGACATTATGAACAAAAGCAGAATAAAAGGAGACTATACATTAACAGCTCCATGTTCTAACCCCATGTGAAGTGGAAGCTAAAACCATGGTGATTTTCATTCAGAGGAAGAGGGGTAAGTTAGTATGCTTAGATTTTACTTACCATAGAATAAGAGGGTAGAAACTGGAGGTTACTATGGAGCAGATGACAGCTGTAAAGTGGATAGTACAGGGGAATCTTTAAAGCGAAATTCCTTAGATGAAAAAGTAGAATTTATAGTCTTATTTCCAAGACAGCATAGTCAGATTTATAAGGGAATCTCTGGGTCATGAGAAGGTCAAGTGTGACATTCGAGAGTACACTCCTCCCTTTCCCCCAGCAAATCTGAGTGGAAGTAGGAGAGGAGACCAACCCATGGCCCAGCCCTGTAGTTGATTATTGCAAAATTCTCTGCATAGTAGGAAATTAGAATGAGATTAGCATTTTTAACTGTGACAAAATATATTAACTAGGGCAAGCCATGGTATGAAGAGCATGACTCCTGAAGAGATCTTGGAGACTTATGGAAGGAAGGAATGGAAGCACTTTAAAACAGTCAGTGGAATGATCTCCCGTACAGGTATTTGAATCTCTTTTACTTGGATTTTATGATCTTGGAAACTTTTCTAACCACTGCAGGACTCATTAGGGTAACACAGTCTATTTTAAACAGTTTTTGATGTTAGGAAAAGATAAAACAAGTTGCTGGCTTGTGCATTGGTAATGGAATACGTAGCTTTTCACCTCAATTTCTTGGGTTCAGATAAAACCCAAGTCAGCAATGGATGGAAGCTGTCAGTAATGGATGGAAGCTGTTTGCTCCACGTAAAACATATTGGTAATCTTAGTCTAATCTGTTTGTAAAGGCTAATGCTCAAATGCATTTCTTAATCACTGAAAAATTAAGTTGGCCTCCTTTGTGAATGTTAATTTTATACAGCATATGAAACTAGTCAGCCAAATGTAAGAACTTGAAGGATCAAAGCCATAAGTCACATGCATAACTCTATTGTGTGAGTTGTTCCAAGGGAGTATCTAGGATTGTTTAGCATGGCATCTGTGTGGTTCTCTGCAGGACTGGAGTCCTAGGGTGAGATTCTGTCTTGGTTTTCCAGGAGGCCCAGCATAGGACTCTTTAGACTACACAGACGCAATGTTTTCATGTTCCTGTGTATAGTTGTTCCAGGGACAGAAAACCCTCCTGGGCAATTTCAATAGGGTGTAAATTATAGGAAGCTGCTTTAATTTTCAAAGTGCTACTTGTGGTAATCCTATTCCTGTCTTGATTTTACGTCAGGATTTGTATGGAGCACCTTGCAGGTGTGCATCATAATTCTGTTTCTGGTTTCTTGCATTGGAGGGATCTTTCTCTGTCCGACTTCATTGATTTTACAGCATATGACGCAAGTCTGGTCTTTTTTACCCACCATGCAAAGCTGAGTGTCAGAGTGAGAACTTCAGCCTGTGGCCTTTAAAATTTTAATTTAATCAAATATTCAAAATCTCACTGATTTGACCCAGAATGGCAATTTTCTTTCCCTACTGAATGAGGAAAAAAATGAGTAAAAAGTAAATGAAGTCATACAAGAAAAGTAACATAGTGGTGTCCAATTTTAAATATTCAATGTCTATTCCTGGTTGAAATTCCAGTAAAGAAATGTATAGTAGATGTAAATGTGTATTTTATTTGGAGGGGGAAGAAACCCCTACAACATTAAAACAAACCTTTTTTTCTTTTTCTTTTTTTGTAGCTAAATATTACTTCTATGATAACTATTTTGACCTACCAGGAGCCCTTCTTTGTGCAAGGATTGTTGATATCTTAGACCAGGTAAGAATTCTGTCATTTGAAGGAGACAAATATATTGTAATTTTTTCATCCCCCCCCATTCCTAAATATGTTCAAGTGTGGGGTAAGAATTGTGATGGATAGTCATGACATTCACATGGATATTCAAAGAAGTGAAATTTAATCTGAGTTGGAATTCTGCATTCCAATTTGACATGGTATATTTGAAATAAAAAAGTTAAATGGTGTAGCCAAAATGTACTCATCCACCAGCAGAGGGAACTAATAACTAGTACAAAAGTAGCAAAGCATTCATCTCCCTTAAATGTTATCTTCTTTTGTCCTGAAATGGCATGTTTTAAACTAGTAGGAAATTGAAATATTTGTAAAGGCATGGAAAAACAGATAAATTACAGCAAGGGAATAAGAGATGTGGATTTACTGTGCCTCAATATAGGGACTGCTGTCTGCACCTTGATTTATCTTTTGCTTACTGCGGGGTCAGAGGATGCAAATGAATAGTTACCTTGGAGCCACAGATGGCACAACAGATTTGCATCCCTTTTTTGACATTGTAATTCCTTTGTTTGTAATACCCTAACTCTTTCAGTTTAAGGGATTGTTAACAATGATGGATTGCTAAATGAGTTCAGAAGGTTTAAATCTTCAGATAGTAAACTTTATGATGTACATGGAAATAGATCTGTAAAGATGAAATATCTTTTCAGTTTGCAAGTACTAATCAAAAGAACAGATTAAGTTGTACTGGCAAAACTTGTTATTGTAGTTAGGGCCTTCTTACATGGTAATTTTAGGGAGCTTCTGGAGCTCTTAAACCCTGAACTGGCCCTAGGTTAACACCTTTAAGTGGCTTAAGCACCCATTATGTGGCTCAAAGTTTTGCCACTCCAGGATAGTATTATCTCTGATCTGCACTACCCAGCTCCTGTTCCATTAAAGTGTAACCACTCCCCACAGTTGTGCTGCTCAAGTTGAATTCTTTCAGTATCTCCTTCAGTGGCTCCTTTCCCATGTGGTATTTCTGTGCACAGCTGAAGATTGATAGATTCATAGATTGTAAGGCTGGAAGGGACCTTGGAAGATCATCAAGTCCAGCCCCCTGCACTAAGCAGGAAAGATAACTGGGGGTCAGGTGACCCCAGCAAGGTGACTGTCTAGTCTCCTCTTGAAGATTTCCAGGGTAGGTGATTGCACCACCTCTGGAAGGAGCTTATTCCACAGTCTGGACACCCTGACTGTGAAGTTTTTCCTCATGTTGAGCCTGAATCAATCTTCCAGGAGTTTGTGGCCATTACTCCTGGTGTCCCCCTTGAGTACCATGGTGAAGAGTTGCTCACTGAGCCCTTGATGTACTCCCCTTGTGTAGCAGTAAGCTGCTACCAGGTCTTCTCTCAGCCTTCTTTTCCTCAGGCTGAAGAGTCCCAGATCCCTCAGCCTTTCCTCATATGGCTTGCCTTTTAAGACTCTTATCATATGGGTGGCTCCTCTTTGGAATCTAACAAGGATGTGGACAAGCTTGAAAAATCGTGGTGCCCAGAACTGGACGCAGTACTCCAGCTGTGGTCTCACCAGTGCTGA